AAATATATATATATTTGACTCTGATAGCATTAAAATATGTATAATTTCAACTTTCATGCATCATCATGTAGAAAAGATGTGACATGATGCTACACCAGGGGTGTCAAACTCGATTTCATTGAGTGCCGCATCAGGGTTGTGTTTGACCTCGAGGGGCCAGGGTGGGTGTGGCCTGCTTGGTGTCACTCATGTCAGGGGGCACTTGTGGCAGCCTGATTGCTCTGCCAGCGAAAACAGGCTCCCGAGCTCCGTTTCCAGCTGCGACAGCCTCCTGCAGCCCTCTGCCAGCGAAAACGGAGTTCTGGAGGGGCCACGTGGAGCCCGTTTTTGCTGGCAGAGGCATCGCGGGCTGATCCCTCACTGTTTTAAGGCGGCCCCACCGGCCAGATCTAAGCACCCCACAGGCTGGATCTGGTCCACAGGCCTTGAGGTTGACACCCCTGTGCTACACTCTCATTTAAGCATTGTGCCATCCACAACAACTTTGTAAATTGTTCCTACTGTGATGTGGATGTGTAATTTTGCCTCCTAACAATATGGAAGCTGCTTTCAACCCTCAGCTAACCACAATTTACATCTGTGGATAGTTTTGTTGCATATATGAACAGGTGCTCTGTAGCGTTGGCTCGGTCTGATTATTATTTCAAGTAGTTCTGACGAGTAGCAGCCAAATAAATTTCACCACTTGTTGTTTTTTTTTTGGAAAAAAAATATATATCTCGGGATGCACAATTCTGTCTCATGCAAGTTTGCAGAGCTGGCATTCAAGTCATGTGTCGGGTTAAGCCATTGTTTACTTAGTTGCGGTTTATTGAATTAATCACAATTGGATGAATTCATACCATGAGCTAAGCCATCAACAGTGACTGGGCTTGCCCCAAACCTTAAGCCAAAACCAGATAAACCACATTATTAGTATAATTGGTGAGTTAAGTCAATATGTCTCCATGAGGCTTGCATATTCAATAAAACTATCTTTGATTATTTCAAAGCAAGAACAATTGGTTGTATTTCCTTTCTTCGTCTCCAGCTAAGTCTCTATTCCTTTGATATAAGGGATAGAACTGGTCCTTCTGTCGTAATCCCTCCCCCTCCTCTTCTTCATTACTGTTCTTTGCAGTATACATTTGAGAATGCATTCAACCTCTTTAGGAACCTGGGAACAACCTGGTCCAGCTCAGAGAAAATTCTCTTGTTAAGAATCAAACAAATTCCTTGCCCAGGATCCTTGACTCCATTCTCAATTTGGCAGTGATTTATAATTCCGGGGGACTTTAATTTGCTTTCATTGGAAATGGGCTCTGGAGTACCTAGTTCAGAAGTTCATGGCTTCCTTGAGAGTCATGATCCCAGGTCATCCAGAGTTCAATTCGGGACACTGATCCCACTCTGGATTTGGTGTTCCTGTCAGAGCAGTGGCAAAGTGGAGTGTGAAGGACCAGGTCCAATGAAACTGATTTATGGCTAAACAGCCTATATACAGGAATCTTCTCAATGTATAGTTAGCAGCTGCTTGGAGTTAGATAAAAGTTGATATAATTCAAGGGAGGTTGGACTTAGTCCGGCTTGAGTCTATGTAGGGATTCAAGGCAGATCCCTCTTTTATCTCCCAGGTTCTGCCATTTTTTCTCCTGCATCAGGGGTCAGCAATCTTAAACAATCAAAGAGCCACAAAGGTCCTAACCGGAAGCCCCCCGTTCAATTCTGGAGCTGACTGGAAGTCTGGTTCCCCCACCATAGAGTCTCTCCTTCTAGCGCTGCGTCCTTTTTCCTCTACATGTCCTAACCAAAAGCCCTATCAATTGTGGAGCTGACTAGCGACAGGGAGCCGCAGTACAGGGATGAAAGAGCCACATGCGGCTCCAGAGCCACAGTTTGCTGCCCCGTGTCCTACATCAACGGAGCTCACATTGTCCCCCTTGGTCATGGTTGGATCATACCCACTGCAAGGAGCCTGGGGAGGGCAAAAAACGGACCTACCAGGCCCACCGGAAGTCAGAAAATGGGTCGTTTCTGGCCGACAGGGGAGGCCGTTTTCGCCCTCCCCCAGGCTCCAAGAAAGTCATGCACACATGCACGGGTCAGTGGGGGGGGAGTCCCGCACGCATGCTCAGGGAGCATGGTGCAGGGGGTATTAAATTATGGGGGTGGGTGCATGCATGCTATCGTACTTTTGGCACCCGAGGTGAAAAAGGTTCGCCATCACTGGCCTATTCAATTAGATCTGGCAGAGAAGATATGCTTCAGGTCCTGTCTGCTTGGGGTACTTGGTGGGCCCAAGGAGGTCTTATGGAATATTCTTCCTCCCCAAAATTATGCCCATCCTTTTTTATATCCCCAAAAGTCCTTAAGACTTTGCTATCTCCTCAGGCCTGGTATTTATGGTATTTTATTAATACAGATTTTATATTTTCGCTTTTATTGGTTGTTTTGATCAGAACTGTTTTTCTCCATTCAGAATCTCCTCAGATTTGATGGGCAGCTATATAAGTTTGATTAATACATACAATTGGATTGATGTTTATATCCTCATCTCTGATTTGTTTAAAGTATGTATGCCCCAAGTGTGCCTGATTGAACCTAAAGAAAACAACAAATCNGCTTAGAGAGGGCTGAAAGCCCTATGAAGCGGTATATAAGTCTAACTGCTATTGCTAAATATGAACGTTGATGCTTTGACTAAACATGATATACAATATAATATGCAAGCATATCCGAACATAATATGCAAATATGAAAAGTAATAGTTACCTGTTCCCATTCAGCACCAAGCTCTTTCCTGATAGATTGGAAAACAGACCGGCACTGAATCATTATATCTAAGGCCCCAGACAAAGTCTTCAGTTTTCCAGTGCTGCTATTCTGACCTAGTGGAATCACAAAGGTAAGCAACGTAACTACTTCACACCTGCCCAGCCCCAAAATAGAAATCTGCAGGTCTTTCCTTTTTGAACACATACTGTAAACATTTTGTTCAAAGCCGCCACCACCAACAGGTTCTCAGAAAACTACTCATCTATTTAAAATAGGATTGTAGACTAAATTAGGGAAATGCTTTTAATTTAATTCACTTACTTGTCATCTGAAATTCAGCAAACGCCACTCTTTCCAGTTGCACGCGGAGAAGTTCACACGGTGCATCTTTCAAGAGCTGAAAAAACTTCACGGCTTTACCGTAATGAAGATCAACCAGTATCCTGTGCTGTTTACGCTGGTGCTCATCCCCAACCTATATCAATAACGTAGTTTGACAAGTCAGCTCAAGAGAATAGCAACCAGTGTTTTATATTAGGACATTTTACCAACATACATGTTTATAAGCATGCGCATTCACAGAAAGACCATGTTAACTGTGCAATTTTGGAGAAAATACCTGATTTCTCAAACAGCTGTGGTACATGGAAGCCAACCTGTGGTGAATTGTGGCTGCCCGGTACTGGCAAAGAGGTTGCCTTGTAGCCACTAACTCAACGTCACAGTATTTCAAAGATTTCATCATTGATTCGCTAACTTCTTTTTCTATCTAAAATACACAAAAGAAAAACTTTCAAAATTTATATTAAAATCAGTTGAACTTATAACTCTTTTATAATCCTGTCCAAAATGATAAACTTTTGTGAACCTTGACGGTGATCATATAATTTGTCTCCCAATGATGTCACATGAAATCTATTTTCAGGCCTAGGTTCACCATTGAAACTGCATTGGTAATCCCACAAGAATGACCTATGTCAGAGAGAGACGCAAAATGATATTTGATTTCCCTGAATTTCCTTCCAGGTTTCCAAAGCTGACAATGACATCAGGGGAATGGTATGACATTCTAAAGCATGGTCAGTGGAGCCAGGACAAAAAAAAATACACTTGATCTGATTTCATTTAGAAGTACGGTATACTTATTTACAATTCAATTACATGAACAGAATGCAGTTAAAGTGAATACTTACTACATACAAAATTTGCCCCTTTTTATCATACAGTACAGGGGTGGGTTTCAACCGGTTCGCGGCGGTCCCTGCGAACCAGTTGGTCGGCGAACCCGGAAGTAAGTAACTTCC